CCTGGAAAACACTCTTTGGTTGTGCAGTAAATAATTCTCAGCTTTGGGTGACTTCACTAATTAACATCCGCAGTCTATGTTTGAACAGTCTTGTTGCAGACTGTTAAGAAAAGACAATTAGCTGTAAATCTGTAGCAGAAGAAACTCAAGGGGAGAAGGTATCTCATAAGCATCAGCTTCAAGGACTTCGACATTTCACTTTGCATTAATATGTGGGAAGCCCTCAAATATTTCACATAACCCAGGGTTCTTACTTTAGGTTGTTTCAATGTAGAACCAACATGTTTTTAATCTTGAGAGAGCTGCTCCCAGCAAAAAGGAGGGAAGAGATTTAAAGAAAGGCTTTCCTGCAAGGCTGCCTCTTAAACAAAAGATCAGCCAGTGAAGTTTACATTTCAAACCTTTTCACTTCAGTCCCTCCTAAATGCTGCTAATAATACTTCTGAAAACCAGAGCAGTGGAGAAGCTCCTTCAGTGCTGCACCCACTCAGTGCTCATCCTGCTGCACCCAACACACGCTTGGTCAGAGTCCAAGACCCTCCCACCTCTTCCTCTGGCTTTTCTTTTGAATATGGCAGCAGTAAAACACACATCTGAGCATCCCACTTCCACAGTATGTTGTTGTCACTTCCTTCACCTTTGAAGAATTCCAACATATGTTTCTTTTAGTGTTTTTTTCTCTATTTATTCTACAAAGTTCCCAGAATAAACTTAAATTATTGATTCTGACAGTTTTCAGTTGGTTTGGGCATTTCACTTGGGTAATTCCCCAAGCTCAGTGAGAGCAAACTTAGATCAGAGCAGCTGTCTCCCTTCCTTGTGAAAATGATCAGTTTCAGACGTAGAATACTGAGATCTTTTAGGTTTAATTAAAAAAAACCAACACTCTGAAAAAAATGAAGGCGCATCATATGGCGTGGGATATTGCTTCACAAGTGGTGTATTTCTGGGCCTGCTTCCCCACCCAGCCTTCCCTGGCTTGGTTTGCTCTTCAGAGTGTCCAAACTGGAAGAAATTGGAGAGGTAAAAGTCCATTGTAGTGAATTGCATTGGCAGTATAATGGGCTGAGATAAAGCATAATTTACACTGACCAATTTAACAGCTTCTTTTCAGTCTTAATAACTGTAAGGTTTAGTCAAATGCCAGACAACTGAAGTGGCAATGGAACGAACAGCAACAAAACTGGAGCCCCGTCAGGGCCCGGTGGAGCAGGCTCTGCTGGTGTTCCTCAGTAGCAGTGGCCAATATCTGTGAGAGTCAAATAAGAAACCAATTTGAGAAAAAAAAAAACAACCACCAAAACCAAACAAACAGGCAAGAAGGAGATTTTGGGTCAAATTTTGGCTGGAAAGGCTGGAACAAGGGGAATTGCACCTAAGAAAACACAAGTTCTCCTCGTAGCCCGTTATAACCTGGATTTTGACCTTAATTTTCCTCTATGTTTGTGCTTTCCTGTGGTACAGACTTCCCTCCATCATTTCCACACATCTTGGACATGGAGCATCTCTTCCCTCCTTCCAGCTCATTTTCTTTCTCCACCTGATTTCCCAGGGAGCAGTTCTCTCCCCGTTTGGTTCCTTGCGTGCCATGGGAAATGGAGTATTTGCCTTCAGTCACGCTTACACTTGGACTAAGTCCAAATAAGTCCAAGGAGGAGGTTTTTCCTCCCCTGCCCACACTGACTGCAGCCGAGACAGTCCTGAATGAAACAGCTTAATTCTTCAGTGTGTTCCCTCTCACTTACTGCTACTCACCATCAAACCTGAAAGATCCTTCCCTGCTTGAACAGCATGTTCCTGGGAGTGACCATCCCCTCGCACCCTCTGTCCTACGCAGGAGTGGACACACCTAAGTCACCTTCAATGCTACAGACAGTGCAGGTGGCAGATGAACACCCACAGGGAAGACAGAGCTGTATTTCACTCCAGCAGAGGCAGGTGCTTTGTTTCAGTCCAAGGTTCCCCACCTACCTCAGTATTTGTGCCACTCAGCCTGCAGTGCTGGGCGTGGAAAATATGGTAGAAGGATGATGATAATAAATGTGTTTGGCTTTTGGGAGCAAGACCAGAACTTTGGTTTTATACTTGAAATGTGCAGTTAGGTGCCTCCCAGGGAAGGTTATTTCAGACACCCACATGGCCATAATGGCAGTCCCTACTCACTGCAGAAGCAATGCAACAGATGAGGAAATTAACGTCAGGTTTATTCAGATTTCTCTGATGTGCATTTTCAGGGGGTTTCCCTGTTTTCTTCTGACATCTGCAAGGCTGATTTATCTGTTATCCATCAGCACTGCAATCAGTGCTTTCATTTCAAGCCTTCTGCTGCTGCACACACACACACCCACATATATAAATAAAAAGAAGAAAACAACCAGAGGTGCAACACTTGTTGCTTGTGAGCATTTTATATTCTGCTGAATAATCCTTAACTGGAAGACACATAGCTCCAGAGTGGCATGTGCTTGGCAGCCCCTGGAGGATGCTCCATCCCCCGTGGGGCAGGCGGGGTGAGCCCGTGTCCCGGGCACATCCCTCTGCTCCCGCAGCCCCCCGGCTCTGCGGCCGCTCTCCGGCCCGGCTCCCATGACCCTTTGCGCAGGAGTTTGGCACAGTTGCCATGACGACCCTGCCGATGCAGCCGGCGGCAGGAGCGCAGGTTGGTGTCCAGGGGTGGCTTTTGGGGCAGGGGGGCAGCAGGAGACCATGGGCCGAGCTTGAGGGTGCTTTACAAACCAGGCAGGCGTGGTGGCAGGCAGGGAGCTGCCAGGCGGAGCCAGCAACACCTCTACAACCAGCTGAAATTTCCGCCCTGCTCTTTTTGAAGCTGCTTTTTACCAGAAACCTGACAAAGCTCCGAAGTGAGAGAAAGGACTATGTAGACTCTGGGATTCTGAAGGATCCCCATCCCCAGGTGCTACATGGGAGCAGCAGCCTCTAGCCGTCAGCACCGCATCCCCTGCCCGGGGGAGCACAGGGAGTCTTTGAAGCCCCTACCTCTTGCTGCCAGCCTCCTCGTCCTTGTAGTAGGTGGCTAAAGACATCCAGAGGGGCAGGTACTGACTACATTAACACTTAGGCAAACCTAGCATCACTGTCGTAAATTTGGAAGGGGATTTATCAAATAAAGGTGACTCTTGCTGGCCAGCATTGCCCGGGGTGCTCCTTGCAGGCTGTACCTCAAAGGGCACGGTGAGCAGATGGCGGGGTGCTGGGGCTGTTCCCGCGGCTGGGAATCCTCCCTAGCGTTTTTAAATCCTAAGTTTGAGCTAAATAAGTGGTCAGATGTAGTGGTGGGACAGTGATGCTTCCATCTGGTGGGGGTAGTGAGGAGAACTCTCTTCACAGCCATGAGCTGCTCGGAGGTCCTGGCCAGTGTTCAGGTGGGTGCACTTAGCTGTAGCTCAGTTTTCTGCTCCCCCAGCAAGGGGAGGACAGACATGAGGTGACAACGTGCAGCTCTGTGTCTTGCAAACCCTCAGCCCTTGACAAATATTGGTGAGATCCCCCTCTCTGAGGGCTGCAGCACCCAAAAAAAGACATGGGAGGATCTCATAATCTGTGGTGTATCGTGTATTTGCATTGCAGAAAAAACATCATCTGCAGCAGACTGCAATTCCATCATACTAAGGGACAGATCCTGCCCTCAGTGACCTCAAGCCAAGAGGCTCCCAGGTGGGTGGCATGACCAGGGAACTCCAGCTGCCAGATCTTCCTCTGCCCTCACAGACAACCCTAGCCCCAAAACATCTGCTTTGAAGATTGGCAACATGGTGTTCTTCACCTTCCTCCCTGTCCTTGAGGTCAGTCAAGGAAGCACCCATGTTCAACATCTGAAGAGGGAGTGACCAGCCAGGAACCTGCTCTCTGGCCCCTCTCCTTCCACCACAGCCTGGCAGGAGTTTTCCTGGGTCTGAGCTCACAATGTTCCACCTGAGCAGGTTCCTCAGCCCTGCCTGTGCCCTCAACAGCCCCCTGGTAAGGAGACACACAGGACACACACTACACTACACAGCCAGGTTTTGGGGGGGAAGGCTCGCCATGTGCACAGAAATCCTTTTTTTTTTTTAGCAATGATATCTCCCAAATAGATGTTGAAGGACCATTTCCTACAGCTACACGAAGAACTGAGGATAAGCATTAATTACAATTTCTTAGATACAATTTGGTAGCTTTTATTTCCTAGCAGCGACCTGGAGCACCTTCCCTTTCCTCTCTCCTCCAAGCTTTCCCCCATGCCGGGCTCCCTGGCACCCGTGGTGCAGCAGG